ATATTTCTGTTAAAAAAATTATTTAAAGTAAATTGCATTAATAAACATATAGTAAATAAATAAAGCAAAGGTCTATTTGGGTCATGATCGATTGATTGATCGGTCCCTTTTGTTGTATTTCAATATTTGTCATACAAAACAAACATTTGTTCTGAAAGTAATAATACTTTCTTGTGGGATGGAAGAGCGGATGTATATTTGTGTACGGCACTAGGCGGTATGGGAGCGCCAACACAAACCATTCTTACGTCAGCATCGATATAAGCCTGTTTCACTTTTGGTAGCAAATGGCAGAACAAACACAATTGCAATAAAGTGGTTTGGATCCGATGAAAGCTATACGTTGTTTGTACTTGAAAAGGGTCAAACAAGCGTTTTTTATAGAAACACTAGCTGTTGCCCGCGGTTACGTCCGTGGAATTAAAAGAAACTTAATTGATCTAAATGTTATTCCAGGCTATGTTTTAAAACCATGCCAAATTTTAGCAAGATCCATGCAGACGTTCTGAAGATACCTTCCAAAAAACATCAATCCAACCAAACATTAGCATTTATAATATTTGTAAGATTAGGGATATCTGAAGAAGGAAGTAGGCAAATTTAGGGGGATGCCAAACACCATTTGTGTCTGGTCACCGTCACTTAAGTTGAGAAGTTAGTTAACTTAGTGACTATTTCTATCTTGAAAAGGTGTTTAGGTGAAAGTCGTTTGTACGTCTCGACTTCTTTTCAAAAGGCTGTGGGATCTTAATATTGACTATTTACTAATACTCAGAGAAAAAATATATTTATTTGATCCCCGGACGCTGTAAATATGTTTTTATATAATTCAATGAATAAAGACACGAACGAGATTTCAAAGATCGTGAAAGTAATGTGCCATTACTTTGTGCACCCTTTATTTGTGGGCTCAAATAGATGCTATTTATTTCAAAGAATACGGCACTCAAACATATAAAGGATGAGATATTTTATCGCTTCCATTCTTTAACAAACAATAAGCAGTTATCCCATACTAGTAATGTTAATAAACTTTTTTTAATGAAATAAACACTTTGTTAAACCTGAATTTAAATACCAACGATTCCCATGACGAAGTAGACTTAAAATGTCGAATCTAGGCAAGATTTTTTTTCATTCAAGTAAAATATTTTGGAGGCCAAGTGACCTAGTAATTACCGTGACCTAGATTCTGAGCAACGGTCCCATGTTTTTCTTTACACATCATTAAACTACGAGAAGTACGTGAAGTATTACCTAGTTGTTTCTAGTAAGAGAGATATGTATACAGGAGTCGTAATATGATAATATACGAATGAATTTAACATAGTAAAAAAGTAATTAATCTACAACTTAATGACGAGACTTTAAGTGGTTATAATAATAGCTACGTTTGTTTTACGACTTAAAAAAAAAAACTTAGTAAATAGCTTATGTCTTCTTAGAGACTGTATTCTACATGTGTGCCAAATTTCATTAAGATCCGTTGAACTGTTCCGACAAATACCTTCTAACAAACATTCATGCATCCATCTAAACTTTTGCATTTAAAATATTAGTAAGATATAGTCTGCAGTGACTGGTCAGGGGAGCAGTAGTGCGCGTTGAGACGGGTTGGCTCTGAGCCAGATCAGTCAGTAATAAGCCGCCGCTGTTAGCTTTGAAGCTGTGTTATAACGGATTTAACGTTTGTCAGAGATAATTTCACGTGCAGTTTAACTTAATATTTCCACGATGTGCAGAATTCTAGTTGCATAATAATATAATAGTATAATATGTACAAGACAAGTTCTGTAACTAAATATACTTGAGTATACAATTTAATTTGTATGTTAAATTTTCTACTTTTTTGTAACCTAAAGTAAAGGCAACGTAAATAATTTATAGTGAACCTTATGTGCAAAATATTATGTGTTTGAAAAGCTACTTTTCTACATGGAGGTTTATTTTGCCAGTAGGCATACGGTCGAATAAAACCTAATCTTGTGGTTAACAAAATTTCGAATATGTAACTACAATGTTTTCTGTGTCATTGCCCTAAGCCGATGAAGTTAGGCGAGTCACGCGGAGCAATTTGGTAAAACGCCGACCATGCATAAAAGGAAATAGGTGCGTGTGGAGCGATCGATTCCAGATTACGAACGACTCTACCTTTACGAGTTAACACGCTAAGCCGTCAGACCGAATAGCGAAAGGTGGTGATTTTCACAAATTCGACATGCCTTAATTATTTTCAATAAATTGTGATAAAATGTTATGACAATTATGTAGAGTATAATTATGAAAATATTAACGAGCCCAAGCTACGTCAAAAGGTAGTAGAGCAATATTTTTTATAAGAAAAATATGACGTTGTATAGATCTTCTTTAAAAAAGCGTCAAAATTAACTTAAGGCAATTAATTCACATTACATAATAAACATATTGAAGTCTAGAGTACATTTATCCGACGTTCTTACGGTGAAGGAAAACATCGTGATGTAACCAGCACATATTTTCAAATAAATTCAAAGATACGTGTGAAGTCAACCCCCACTGAGCCAGCATGGTTAACTATGGCCTAGTCACCCCTAACTTAGGAGAGGCTCTAAGCCTCTCAGTGGGGACTTATGGTGAGCTGATAATGCTGACGTCTGAGGTCTAAAATATTTAACAATTAATAAATTAAGTCAAAATCATGAATATTTAATTATGATTCTTTTTAATTTATATGAATATAATTCTATTATGATACGTCTCATATTTTATTATACCCTTATCGTGCCATTTAAGAGACTGTGAGTTATAAAATACATATTTTATATGTTTTCGTTGCGATTATGTATTCATACATCGGGGTGTGGACCGCCCGCCTTTCCGCCCCGGTTTTCCCCAACAAATGGATTCTGTTTTTCTCTTCTACGTAAACAAAAACTTTTTGTGCTTAAGACTAATATGAATCTATAACATATCTTTTCATTTTTCCACGCCCAAGGGTGTTATCTTCGCTTTGAATTTACCCTTTTGTAAATCGATTGTTTGTTTTTATTTTTGCGAACGATTTTTTTACTCAATTTTATACTTATACAAGCGATCGCTTTACTAAGACAATATACTAAAGTATACACCTAAGGCATTTTCTGTCATATGTTGTAAAAGCTTCACCTTTTATGAAACAACTAGCCGGCTTTCGCAACTTTGTCAGCACAGAATTATTAAGAAAATGTTTTATAATATTCCCGCGTGCATTAGCTACCTTCTCGTCAGCCAGTCGTTCCGCGGATTATCCGGAAAAAGTGTGGACAGACAGCAAAACAGACAAAAATTTTAAAAAAATTTCGCTATCAGAAACAAAAATACACTATGTGTACGAAATATTATTATTTTAAAATACTACAGACAGATACTCCAATTTTATTAATATGTATAGATGCTATATAAATACTGGATAATTAAAATGAAACGTGTTTATATTTTTTTCAAAACTTTATTATTTCTTTATAATGTTTATAATACATGTAATTTATGTTGTGCTAACCGCATCGTCATGATACACATACAACAGATTTAAATACATAATATTATTATTTGTATACAATAATAAACTTCTGACATAATAATAACTGGTTATATTAATCGAGTTTTCTATTCAATAGCCTATTTCAAGAAAACCATTTTAATGAAATAGTTCGTACACATTGTTATTTTACATCAAGATAAATACGATACTGAAGATTCTATTGGACAACATGTAGATGACTATGTACAAACTCGTCTAAAATCTATGTTTAAAAATAAATAAATAATCAGATTTATTGACAGTTTCTGTCCTTAAAAGCACTTCGAATGTCTCGTTTTACACAATTTAAGGTAAATTTTATAAGACAAAGGACGGGGAACGCGACTAGAATTTTTTAATAAAAATTAAGTTTTTTACCACATGAGCCAAAAATTAATTTATTGAATAAATGGTGGGCGAAGTAACATAAAATTATATAATATATCTAACAGGGGGAAGTTTACGCTGGAAGGGGAAAATGTTATTTATTTAAAAAGTACGAAATATAAATAATAATTATCTTAACATCTGCTTTCTAATTTTTTATTTCTTATATCTACTTTGCTTTCTAATTATATGATTTTAGTTACATGAAAGATATACTACACAGGCGAATTAAAAACAATAATGATAACATAAAATCACAATGACGTAATTAAAAATAATAGGGATCCAAATTGATCGATGAATGAATAAATGAATTGCTATTAATCTGAATAATATTATGAGCGTCGGTGGCTCAGTGGTCAAGCACTTGACTTGCAATCTGCAGGTCCTGGGTTCGAATCGCGCCATGTACCAATGTGTTTTTTCGATTTCCGATTTGCATATGTACATTTATCAGACGTTCTTACGGTGAAGGAAAACATCGTGATGCAACCTGCACATATCTGAGAAGTAATTCAAAGATATGTGTGAAGTCAACCAAGCCGCACTTGGCCAGCGTGGTTGACTATGGTCTAGTCACCCCTAACTTAGGGTAGGCTCCGAGCCCCTCGGTGGGGACGTACAGTGAGCTGATGATGATGAATAATTATGTAGAGATGATTACAAAAATAAATATGAAAATAAAACACAATTAATTGAAAGTTAAAACCTGTGCAGTATCTTTCAAAGATATTTACAAATAAAAATAAAGTTTATTCAAGAAATATTTTCTCCTGCAAATTACTTACAATTTACATACCTTAGAATAGAATAAAGCTAGATATTGTGATTCGTATATCTTTGCTCTCATTATATGTTATGTACAATCAATGTATTTTCTAAACATTTGTGTTAATATAGTATTGTCAGCTGTTCATCGTTCCTGTGTCATTATCAATATGTCTCTTATTCGGTATTTTAAATATCATCTCCCAATTTCCTATAAAATTTGCAATAAGTATGTCAATTTTAGTGAAGTCAACCAACCCGCACTTGGCCAGCGTGGTTGACTATGGCCTAGTCACCCGTAACATAGGGTAGGCTACAAGCCCCTCAGTGGGGACGTATAGTGAGCTGATGATGAATGATGTCAATTTTACTCAAACATAATCTCCGTTTTGTCACCAACATAGTTCATTATTTCAAAATTTAAATTTTCTTCAATTAAATTTGATATACTGTGGTTTAACATCAATTTAAAATCAAATTAGACACCAGAATATCTTAACAATATTTACAATTCTATATGAGTGAAGCATTCGATCTATTTGCTTAGGGTTTATTTTTTTTTAATTTTACATAACACAACCCAACCCTATAAATTAGTGAATAATTCATCTGATACCAAAGACATTTGTGATCAAAGCATCATTTATCTGTTAGCCAGTCTAATAATTTGGTCACAAATATAATTATGAACAGAGAAATATAAAGTCTATTTACATCGCCAAAGTCACTGGTGTTTGTCAGGAAAGAGATATCAAAAGACTCACTGCAAGCACAAAGCAGTGAGCGGGCGACGTGGGCGCGAACGCTTGTCCTCCGCGCTGCATGGCCGCCGGGTACTCCCCTGACAAAGGAAAAATGGAATTTGCTTCTTTGGCAAAAATTAAAACTGTTCTCAAATAAACCAATAACATGCTATGGTATACTGAACAGATAAATATAATTAACAACAAACTTTCAATACAATATCAAATTGCGATTATTGAAATAAAATGTGTGATTCCAGTAAATATTGAAAATCTATGAGAAATTCCAAAATAGTCTTTTAGTTATCAAAAAATCAATTAATATTAAATCTATCAATAAAATAAAGCCTTCACTAAAAGCTTTGTCTAATAATAAAAAATCGTAATTGTAATTCATAATTCGTTGGTTATGATTTAACCAAAAGTAAAACCATTTTAAGGTAGATCGTTTCATTAACTTGATTTATTGCTTTAATAACATTAATATGAATAAAAAAAGCTTTTAGGGTCCTTATATTTAATACTCACCATTTAAAACGTGAACCATAACACTTTTGGATTGTGCGTTGCTTGGATTACATTGGTAAGTGCCTGAATCAGACGGCCTCGCTTGTTGTATCAGTAAAAAAGACGTGGTTGTTTCCCCCTTCTCCGTTACAACCGACACGCCGCCCCGAGGGGAATCGTAGCTAATAATCTGTTGGAAAATATAACGGTATAAAATAACAACAACAAAAAGAATCTATAATAGAATAGCTTTATGGTTTCGAACAGCGTCAAGGGAATTGAGCAGTGATTTCTGATTTACTGCTTTCTTAAATTATTAGTATTGTTTGAATATTAACATATTTTAAGAATTGTTATAAGTTATTGCTCGTCGAAGATTGATTTAATTTTTTGATTAAATATTTAAGATTCTCCTTATGACGAGTTTTTAAAAATTATATTCTTTTTTTTCCAATTTAACATCACTCCTAAAAGTGTATCATTAGTGAAGAATTTTACCGCATCATTGTGATTCCAGAAAATGTAGGCCGGAGGTTCCGGCGAGTAAAGAACCACGCATGTTAGATTTATGGTGCTCCCCCGATCTATGTAAAGGTCTGGACCACCAATTATCTCTGTTGTTGGCTCTGAAAAAATATAGCGAAGTCACTTTGTTGTAATAATTCAACGAAGCTAATTATTCCGAGGCAGCGAAATGTTTTTCCTTTATACGGCTTAGCGTTTTACTCGCTTACTTTGTAATTAAATAAAAGTACGTAAACATCTTCCTTAATTAAATGCGTAGCGAATTAATTATAAGCAAGACGTTATTTGTTATCAAGCCCGAAAGCAACGCCCTACCGAGCTTTAACTGCCGGATAATAAACAACCCGCTATAAACATTGTTAATTAAACCAAATTGTAAGATACAATCTAAAAAAAAACTTATGTAACTAAAATAATTGAAAATAAAATAGGTCATAAATTTAATAAATAACAATTTTCCATTCATTAATTTTCCGTTTCACCTATCTTAAGCTTTTGTGTTTTTGTATTTGTTATGTTAGTTTAGATTTGCTTTTATTCACCAAACAATAATAATATTCTATCCATATTAAACGTACATTATAATGTATCTATGCACGTTAACAAAGTCTTTGTTATATTATTTAGATGTATTATTTAAAGGAGAATTATTAAAAGCCTCATTACGAGAAATACGAGAAATTGGTTTCCATTCCAAAAGGTAAGTCAGAATATAATGTATATTGCGGAGGCGTGCTCTTTGCCCGGTTAAATCGACCCATTCGCCCTGCAGCTACTTTCATAACATAGAATAGCTTTACCTCGTGAATTATGAAATAGTTTTTGTTCAATTACCGTTACTGTTTTAGCGACTCATAAATAAAATTATAAATATCACATAATTAGCTATTCGACTACTGCATTGAACTTTTAGTATTATACTTATATAGTATTCTGTTAAAAACTAAATATTAACGACGAGCAATCACGCAAATTATCCAGTGTCTGCAACGACTAGTTTCGGGCCCATCAATGAATCTTCTTAAGGGTGATTGGGTTTGGTTTCGCAGCCCGTCTCGCACGTAAGTTTTAATAATTTAGTTTAAATTTTATTTGTTTCTTTTTTATTGCCTTTATGATATCATACATACAGAATTAAAAAAAGATTTTAGAATATTTATAATTGTAATCAAAATAATAATCAAACATACTGTATACCGATCTAGCTATATGATTAACGGCAAACTAATTTTGTTTCAACTCGCACAGATTCGCGTGTACGACGTAATAACATCAAACTAATTAAGTTGTTCAAACGCAATGGCTGGAAGACAATATTTGGGGCACAGTTTACAATTCTCAGATTATTACATGAACTTTAACATAAATTTATATATATACTAGCATAAGCTATACAAATGTTATCCATTTATTTTACTGTTTTAAAGACTTAGGTCTTATAAGTAATTCACTTCTATAAAACTTAAAGAAGGCAGAAGTTTTAGTTTGTATGGATTGTTCAGAAAGTCTAACATTTGCGCTACGGACTTTTAATATAACGATCAAAAGTTCCTAATCCCAGTCAAACTAATCCCATTGCTTATCCACTCCAACTATTGAATTTCTGATATTCATATTCATGTGAAACGTTAAATCTTTTATATAAATTAGACTCCACCTATGAGAAAATTATTAATTATTTGGCATTAAGATGCAAATGACATATAGTAATTACGTCATGATCATTATTACAGTTAAAAAGACAATTGACTTGCAATCTGCAGCTCCTGGGTTCGAATCCCGCCATGTACCAATGTGTTTTTCGATATCCGATTTACATATGTATATTTATCCGACGTTCTTACGGTGAAGGAAAACATCGTGATGCAACCTGCACATACCTGAGAAGAAATTCAAAGATATGTGTGAAGTTAACCAACCCGCACTTTGCCAGAGTGGTTGACTATGGCCTAGTCACCCTTAAATTAGGGTAGGCTCCGGGCCCCTCGATGGGGACGTATAGTGAGCTGATGATGACACACTACTTACTACTTACATGTACTACAAATAAATAAAAAAAACTTTAAATACATACCAACAACATTTAAATGTATGAAATGACTCATATGCGGGGTCGTTGAAATCTGGCACTCATAAATACCAGAATCTCTGTGCTGAGGGTATTTTATCTGAAACAATTATTTACAATTACATTATTATGCTAAATATGAATTCGCTTGACTGCTTAACAATGTTTAATTTAACAGTCTAGTGAACAATTTTCAACAACTAGTATGTATTTCAATGCCTTTATTTTAGCTTTATCACGGCAATTCATTATTACACAAAATATTATCTTATACGCTACTCCGTTACTTTCTAACTAATTTATGTAACCATATTTCTAAACTCTATTCTAGTGTATTCCATCACAAAATAATCTAGACTGTTATCTTTGAAGTTCTCATATTATATTATGATTTTACTATTAAATAATTTGTTCGTCGTATATCAATTAACATTATTTATAGGCCATACCTTAATCAGATATATTTCTAACTAATAGACTGTTAAAATTTAAAACATTAAAAAAAAAACAAAGTACTCTATCTGCCAGAAAAATTAACAAATTAAGATTGCTAACAGCGCCATCTATTGTTAACAATTTTTCACACTCACTTGTAAAGTCCAATCCTCGGAATGTGGGAGATGAATCGCTCGAAATCTCTGATCACTTGTATACGTGTATCTGCCAACCGTCAACAAATGGATGTCCCTGTGCCGAACCCACGACACTTGCATGTTCAACTAGAGTAAACATAAACTTAATGGTACAAGTATAATACTGAAGCATTCAAATCCAAATGGAAACGAAGGGGAAATTTAATAATCGTGGAAAAAAAATTCACTAAAATAATCAGTAGAAACAATAGGAATATTTACAATATTACCTATTACGAACAGTCAAAGAATTCAAGGAAAAGAACAGTTACTTATTTAGATCGATGGAACTATGATTCAGGAATCTTTCCATTCAACGTTTTAAGTTTCCTTAATTATAAAGACGGAAGAATAAAAGACCAGTTTGCTTTTAAATATGTCAAATAAGCTCACGGATTTTAAAACTGATTTTAAACATAATTAATACTGTAATCGAGAAAAAAAATTGTATTCCTTTAAATAATAAAACTTTGCATATAAAATTAACTGTAACCTTAATAAAAAAACATAAAATATTATTAAGCTTTATTCCAATACATTAAACTACCTAGAAATGGCTTGTCTTACAAATATTCTCCTCACGTACGATAGATGCTTATTTGAAACTTCTTCCAAGCACTTTATATAAGTTTTTGAATCAAACTTCAAGTAAATATATAGATAGTTGTATATTTATGCTAACTTTTAACCTTACATTGTTATTTAAGTACTCAACGCTTAATTTTAGAATTCAAGTTAAGCTCATAAGTCGCTTGAGAGTAATTTCTAACAATTTTCAAGACGCCATTAGCGTCGGTCTTTCCTGTAATTAGAGTCACTAACAGTAGATGCGGTTAAGTAATTGCATATTACTCGCACTATTTCATATGACAGGAGACATATAAATATATCTCTTGCTATCTCTTACGAACAGATGTAGGAGAAGGATTTTGACAGATTGCAATATAATAAATCCTCTCTTATTGATTTTATAGTGTTGCCTAGCCTCCAAATTCAGTCTATACAATATGACTTTTAGAAACAATTAGATATAAGGTTTTATGTTTGTATTGTGTATCGTAATAATAAACTGAAATTAAATAACTTCTTATCTACGTTATCCTCTTAGAATAAAACTTTTGTATAGCTTGTTAGTCCTGTATAATGTATATTGGCAGTATAAGGCGGCGTGCACAACGACTCCAGAAGCTCGTTATATTTCTTTATTTATGTGTAAGATGTGGCATCGCCTAATGAGAGTTTTATTTATAAAGTCTGACTTACAATGGCCAGTCTTTAAAGTTGCATTGTGCTATTGTTGTATTTCATTTTAAAACGTACATTACGCGGCATACCGCTATGTAAATTGGACGTTGGCTTCAGAATAAAAGGAAACTCGTTACTGGGAGCGTGTGCGCTTAAATTAAATCTTACTTATTTACATCATTGTCTGCTCTGTTTACGACCAAAATAATAACGTGATACTGTAGACGCTTATAAAATCCTTTTACGGTTATTCTTATTTTATTAAAAGTTAGTATGGACGCGTTTATTAAATTATGTTATTCATCTATTTTTTCTCTTTGCCTTTATAAACCATTTAACAGATTATAATGAAATTATTAAATTAAACCTTTGCACCTTGATTACTATGTTTAATGTGGACTTACCGTCTTATTTCCTAGATTTTTAACTCGGCAATTTAGATAAGCTGTTTTGCCGAGTAATGCTGTGACGTTTTTCGACATCGCCAAGTCGAAGTATGGTCCGGTGCGAGGCGTGGGTCGCGGCCCGTCGCCGGCGGGTCCGGCTCGGATCGCATTATCTGATCCGGGCGTGGACGTCGCCGACGCGTTGCCGGGAACGCCCTTCCCTAGTTCGCGCTGCGCCGACGATACTGCGTCAAAATAAATGATTTGTATAAAATGGGAGCGAATAAAATGGATCATCGTGTTAGATACTTGATCTAAATATAATACGCAAACAAGTATATTGTGATTGTAGGCGATAATGATAATATTACATTAAAAATAAAGTCTTAAAGGATTATAATTTGAAATGCCATCATTTATCATGTTATACGTATACATATTTCTGAATCCAAATAAGCCCATTGCTTTAAAGAGCCTCAAATATTCCTCATTTATCCGAGGAACATTATTAAGACCTTTCAGGGCGTATATACGACATTAAGTGGCTCTTGTCACTGTCAAATGACATGTCATTTCGACATCCGACGGCTACGCTGCTTTTATATCGTACGAAGTACAACTCATCCCTTTTCATCTTAAAATTATGGCAATTTGACAGTAATTGCCTTTATCGATTAATGCTTTTCTTCAGAACATGCTCGCATTAGTACATACATTGCGATTTTACGTTGTATTTTACACTAGTCGTCACCTGCGACTCCGTCCACGCGGAATTAAAAACAAACTTATTAATAGCCTATGTACTCTTCCAGGCTGTGTTCTACTTCTGTGTTAAATTTTATCAAGATCTGTTGAGCCGTTTCGATACCTACAAACAGCCAACCATACATCTAAACATTCGCATTTATAATATTAGTAAGAAGTAAAATAACCGTTGCTTCAGAGACGTGAATGTGTTTAAAAATCGCAACCAACTTTGTTACAAGAAAGAGACAGATAATATTGTTCTTTTTCGAAACCATAAAGTTGTATCTAAAGTTCTGTACTAAAATAGCTGTATAAATTAATTTTCTTTGTTATAATATTCTCTTTACATGACAAACAAAATAAACTTTGTATTTATCTAAAATTTTAGTCAGCATCAGTCCATTAGACAGGCCGTTGTGATCCGCGTGGCCCTGAGGCCGACAACTGTGACATAGCCGCCTCGACTTTGCGACGAATTTCATTTAAATTTCAAAGCTTACAAAGTATCAAGTACAACAAAGCCAGGTAATTTCATTAAAGCAATTCTTTCTATTACTTACTAGAACGTATAAAAAAATTCTATTCCATTGATTTTTGGAAGATTTCACTGCCGAAACACGTACAAAAGCATATAAACATTCCTCTCATTTTCTTTAAAATAGGACAAATAAACATATGTATTTTTAAAAATCAGCTATAGAATCTCAAGGCTAAGTTATCCACATTATGGGCATGTTTGTACCTATCGTGGAAAAAGGCATTTTTAACTTCGGAAACAAACTAGTTTTATTGTGCGTACAGTAAAGTGGAATAAGTTACCAGTAGCGCGAATGACGTGCTTTCGTTACAAATTCCAGTGTCAGAATGAATAGTGAGGGGACACAAACGTCGACATATTAGTAAGGCTAGTGTTGGGTCAATACACTGGCACATTTTCGGATTTTCTTCCTAACAGATGTGCGTCTTCAAAAGTAAAGTGAACAAGAACTTACATCTTCGTAGTTATCTTATATAAGTTAAAAAAAAACTTAACGATTCTAAAATTCTAATAATTATTGATCAGTTGAATCCTCTGTTTATTTGTAACATAGCGCATAATTTAAAAATAAGTACAATAAGGAAATTATTCATGCAATAGTTGGTACAGTATGCTAGTACATTCAAAGATAACCAAAGGAAGGGAGTGCGTGGGGTGCTGTTATTATTAATCGTATTGAATAACATAAAATAACAGTATGGGAGGGTCGCAACAACAAGGGTGTTATGTAAAGGAATAAATCACAAAGAAAAGGTTAGATTACCGTTTTCTTCCAATGTCGATTTACGTATAATTTCATATAATAACAAGGCTGGTTATTTTTGATAATTTCCATGGCTGTATTGAAGAATACAATACGGTGAAGGAAAACATCGTGATGCAACCTGTACATATCTGAGAAGTAATTCAAAGATATGTATGAAGTCAACTAACCCGCACTTGGCCAGCGTGGTTGACTATGGCCTGATCACCCTTAACTTAGGGTAGGCTCCGAGCCCTTCGGAGGGGACATATAGTAAGCTGATATTGATGATGATGTTGATGATTGAAGAATGCAATATTAGGTAAATATTTTAAATACACTTATACTTACAAATAAATTTTATTACATTGATCCTTTATGAAAAGTTATAATTGTCAAACCAATATTATTTCACAGGTTAACAGAAAAAAAAGATTATGTTTGTAATAAAATAAATTCTACATTTTTGTATTCTCCGAAAATGTATAGTTTACATTTAAGAGTAAACCATTTTAGTACCCCGATGATTTATAGAAATGACGTAGAACAAAATAAAAGCTCGAGACGATTCGTTGTAATAAAACTGACCATTACCAAAGTAAACAATATTATTAAAGGAGTCATAGTCATAAATCTTGACTGAAATGTCGTGGTTGCGAAAGCCATACAGTGTTTGGAAATTATTAACATCGTATATACTAACGTATCAAGATTTTATTAAATAATATATTTTCACATTTTGTATGATATAAAACTAGACTATCTCCAAATAAATTAAATAATTATCCTTGGGTTTTGGCTTCTGATATTCTTGCACAATAGACTCTTAATCACTACCTTATACATGTAGTCACAATGAACGAATTGCCGCATTATTGCCGTGTTAAATGATATCTAAAAATCGTACACTAAGGGTACCCTTAGTAAAGGTTTATTATAAGTCAATGCAACAGACGGGATCATAAAATATCAGCACTAAGTAACTACTTAAAAGAAACCAAATAACTCTGAGTAATGGACTTTTAAAGTGTAAATTCATAGAGAACAGTACCAAGCACATCGTGTAACGCAGCCACGTTGCTTGTTTGGATAAACGCTAATCTAACTTCTTAAAGTTAATATAACTTTCCTTGTTTCGTATTCGCATGAACATATTTTAGAATGCCATGAATAATAATATTAACTTCAATGTAATGTGTTGAATAATAAATACGTGTAATGGATTTTTAATAGCATTTTACATAATGTATCGATGCTGAACGATATACAAATTACAGTCTTAATTATACAAAGTTCAACATTTATTTATTTATGCACAACCACAACATTTTATAAATATTGTGGTTGTGCTTAAATAAATAAACACACATACAACTTATCAATTAAATAGTATTAGATCTTATATAATACATATGTAAATATTGGTGTACATAACGTTTACAGAGGTATTTGTTTAGGTAGAAGTTTAAGGTTTTGTAAATTACTATAAAATAGTAGCAAATCTTTTATCTACGTAATTTTTCCATTGAACATTAAATCTCATTTTATAACAAGTTATATTGATGGGTGTGTGGTGGGATTCTGGGTGTGTAAAGTTTTATCATCCTTTAACCGAGGGTTTTTGTGTCCATAATCTCCGTTTAAAAAAATGTGTTGCCAAAAATGACAGGGATATTTTGGTCTCAGAAACCCACGGTATTTGTTATACAAAATTTTGATATTGCTGTTGCGATCCTTATATTAATATTAAATTAAAAATAATTAAATTGTCGCCCTAAGAAAGTCAATAACCTGATTTTATAGTAGGTAGATATAGAGCAATCAATAGGAATGTTTAAAAATGATTCACTTACAAACATGAATGCAATAAAATCAGTTGTAAAGGTGATTAAAAGTTCCTTTTACTGAGTGTAGTCTGTAGTGAGGACTCCAACACTAAATATCTGCGGTTAAACAGTGAAAGTTGCGCAGTTGTAATACTGCAGGAAAGTTGTCTGCAGTTTGATTAATCTCTGCGCAATTTATAATTTATGCTAAATCATATAATTAAAGTAAAACACATTGAATCAAATATTATTTATTGAGTTTTATTCACTAGAATTTTTCCTCCTTTATGTGAATCCCTTTCCTTTTCCCTTTATGTGGGTTTAAAAATGTATAATCATTTTCATAAGTTCATCGACGCGATTCCACTTCTCATCCCGCGGCGTCCCCTGTTCTGCGCAGAGATTCTGCATTGGATTATTAACTTCTCTGTTTACCCAAATAAGATGTTTGTGATGCTTAAATATTATAAATTTGTATTTATAGCATACATTCGCGTTTCTTATTGTTATATTCATTTTGTAATATTTGTCTACAATTTCGTAACAAAGTTAATTGGGTTAGCGTACGTAAGAAATCGTCGGCGACCTACTTGCGATCGTGTAGCTAATAAGAAACTCGCCTTGTGTTATTATGTCGGTCTACATAGTTGTTTCGCGGCTGAATGTCGTTATACCGAATATGGCGCACTTCATAGAATTCAATTTATTTTTACTTTATAAATATAATTTCATAGCGAAGTTTTTTTTTCATTAAACCTGAAGTTGAAGTTATGAAATGTATACATAGGTATGCAGCGCCTACGATTTTTCTTTTTAAGGTAAAAAACATCTAGATAAAGCAAAGAATCGTAGAAATGCAACATTTGAAAATCATGATGTATAAATTAAAAAAAAAGTAATACAGGAATAATTTAGGATATATTCCTTTAAACGAAAAAAAAAACTTTACTATTATTTAAATTATAGTTTCTTAAGCTATACTTTGTGGTGACTGCATTATATTCGTAATATTCAACTTATTGGTCGGACAATCGCTCAATTGCGTGTGTGGCAAAGAATTTTTATTTTCTGTGGCTAATAGTTATGTTTATCGAGTTCATACTAGTTTGGAGTAACTAAGGTTGATTTTAGCCTAGAAATTAGTACGACTAGTAGTTCTAGTACTTACTAGTTCTAGTATTACGAAACAGTTTTACCGCTGCTAAGTAGAGGTTATGTCGGTTTTGAATTAAATTAATATATTTTCATTGTGGATCTTCTTACTTCTTACTAATGTAAATGCGAAAGTTTTGATATAAATGTGTGATATATGCGGTTTAACAAATCTTGGTGAAATTGGGCAGAGACGTGGAACATAGTCTGGAAGAACACATGTACATTACATTAAGTTTTTTTGTAATTCCGCGCGGACGGAGTCGCTGACGACAACTAGAATTATTATGAAATCAACACGAAAATACTTTTAGCGACGTTATGATTATAAATAAAATCATTGCAATTGTATTTCGATGACGTACAAAAAATACTAAACACGAACTGCAATCACAAATTTCCTTCCACTTTGCAGTGCATTAGCAAAGTAATTAATTCCAAAATCGTTAAGTTTAAACTCAACATAACTATTTTAATTATTTTGCCAGTTAAAGTTTTGTTACTGCGCAGTTGCTATTACAGTTGTAAAGTTTACCAAAACTTTGTTTTACCATTTGTAAAAGCTTTTAAAGTATATCTTAGTAATATTATATGCGAATGTTTGGATGGATGGATGTTTGTTTGAAGGTATCTCGAGAACGGCTGCATGGATCTCGCTGAAATTTTGTATAGATGTAAAATATAGTCTGGGAGAACAAGTAGGCTGTAGTTTTTTTTTTAATTTCTACGCCGAAGAAGCCACAGACAACAGCTAGTATGAATTATTTAAACCTTGTATTTCTGATATAAAATCCATAATACAAACTATCGCGGGATTCATAATTTTATTTATTCAAGTCAAAGTAAAAAATATTATCTTGCCTTTTTAATAAAACTTCGCTTTTTTAGATATTTTTGTTCTAATTTTAACCTTTCAACTAAACGTTTATTAAATCTATGGCATTTTGAATTTAGGAACATAAAACTATATTTGACTTTGTTAAATAAGTTACTAAACTCCAAAACTTTGTGGTAGGAACCCGAAAATTTGTTCTCGTCCTGTAATAATTGCGTTTGCAAACAATTTACGAGCCCGTTTAGTTTTCTCTGAATAAAAAACTTCGGGAAGTTGTAATTCTAAAACACAAATGTTGAATGCCTCTGACCTTTATTACGAGCTGAAGTTAATGGTGACTTTCATATACAGCCTTTATTAATATTATTTTAATTTTAAAGAAATGGATATTTTATTTTATGACAAAATGTAACAAAAAACAAAAGTTGTCTAATGATTTCTTACTGTAAAAACTAATTTAAATTAATCATAAAAATTTTAATCACTCAAAGAAAATCAGTATAATAACACAAAAGAAACTGTAAGTATACATTTGCAATTTCTGTTCTCCTAAAAATATATAATATAATATTTTTGTACCGGCACAAAAATACAAGAATTTTACTTTGATTAAAACGCTAACCTATTGTCATCACAAAAATAAAATAAATAACTATTCTTCATAAACTGTGTTGTCTTTTTGTTTTAGACACGGAAACGTTGACTGGAAACGCGATTGTAAATCTTCTGTTATTTCTTGTTCTTTGCTGCACTTTAATAACAGTAAAAACTTTTGCTATGAAGACAAATATTCCTTTAATGCACCAATATTAGAGTCACGAAATCGCATCAAACTGTGACAGTTTATCTAGACCGGGTTTAATTTTACTATCTTTTGCAAAAACAATAATAGCAGTAAAAGATAAGGAAATGTTAGCTTTCAGTATATGCCATTGCACTTTAATTAAAATATATTTAAATGTGCCAACTAAACTCCCATATTTATTTTACATCTATTTTGGAAAATAAATTCACACGAGAATTACTTACAAGAATTTAGTCTGTGTCTAAATTACATCTTTTTTCACTTTAAAAACTCTGAAATATAATTCCGAATTTTTTTCTTTGAATTTATTACATTTACTAAAATCATTTTTAACCATCTCTTTTGTTTCACACTTTAGAAATGATGTATTAACGGTTTCATTTTGCTTTTAACGTAATAGTAAGTTTCAGACCGGGGCAGCATTGATTCCGTGAACGTAACATTTGACCTGTTGAATTTATTGCAGGTCGGAGCTTAATTAAAATTTGCTTTGTAAATTCTTTTTTCGAGGAAACGCTGGTTCAGATTTCCTGGTAGTCTGGATTGTAAACTCTAATGAATAGTAAGCCTTTTTCAATTTAGAAGCTAAGTTCCGCACATGTTTTCACCCACTTTATAGTTTTTTGTTCTCATTATTTTTTTTTATAATTAAAAAATTCTTATATTTTTTTAACGTTGTTAAAGGCAAAGTATGTGTTTCACTTAAGTAGAATATTAGAATAGTTAATTAAAAAAAGAAGTGGAAACAATTTATAGCGAGACAATCCAACTGAATAGCCTACTCCAAATTTTCAAATCGGATAGTCATGAGCCAATCTTTGTCCCAACAAACGTAACCGTTCAACATATTAGAAAACAATATTTATATTAATATTGTGAATGCGAATGTCTTGATAATGGAAAGATGGATAGATCTTTGTTTGAAGGTATCTCCGGAACGGCTAAACGGATCTTGATGAAATTTGGCACAGATGTAGAACATAGTCTGGAAGAACACATAGGGTAATCATTAAGTTTTACTTTTAATTTCGCGTGGACGGAGTCGCGCGCGACAGCTTCTTGTAAATAAGAAATGTAACTGACCATGTTCAGGGCGCGTTAAACAGATGACGAGTGCCAGTAGTACGCCCAACACATCGCCGCACAATTTGCCGGCCATGTTTCCTCGTGCTCCTCAACCGACGCTGGCTTTCACGAACATTCTCATTTTCTATAGCCAATTAATTGCCTAAAATACCCGGTGATTCAGTATTCTTGATACATTAGATTTCGATCCTTTGAACAGCATTATGAATGCTGTGTTGATGTTTCCATCTGATTAAAGTTTAGTCCATCTGAAACAAAAACAAAGGAATTTGAGATTTTATAAATTTAATATTTTTATAGAATGCTTAATCTGTGGGTTTCAATTGCACAGTTATGGGATATAGGATAAAATACAATAAGAAACTTAGCTGTTTATGTAGGGTACGTTGGGAGAGAATAGTTTGTTAATAGGGTTGAATAGATTGTGTAAAAAGATATTTAGAAGGAAGTCATTTAAGTGACGAATAATAGATTTATTTGAACATGAAAACCTTCAATGCCTACCTCAAATAGTGGGAAAAGAGCAAGGATATCTCTAACTTTATAAAAGAGAATTTATAATCTATTTCTAAATTCAAATAAGCTAATTCTATTTCTCGTTCAACGAGCTGAACACAATTATCTGTTAAGCATGCCGCTGGAAGTGACCTGAAAAAGAACGACGTAATATACAAAGGCGTCCGCAGCAGAAATTGTATTGTGAACGCAGCTTTATGCTCGCCAGAAGTGTTCGTGTTTACCGGCTACACACTCCTCTGTCATGTCACCTAATTAATAGCGCTTCTTGTACATTGTTATTCCAAGTCCATGGTGAAATGTAGAGCAAATATTTGTGCCGTTTGTTTGGATTATTCCAAGCGTGTGGTAAACGATGTTTTTGTTCTGTCAGACATAAATCGTGAGGCCGATGAAGCTAACGATTTTGAGTGGCATATTGAAGTCTTGACAAAATAATTTCAAAGAAAATACAACCTTTATAGTCAAAAAATCGAACACGATATAAAATTGTTATAACGCAATTAAACCAAACTAATTGAAAATTAATTCTTCAGTCGATTTTAAAACTTCGTAAATAGGACTTCAAACCTTTTAAAGAATTACAGTTTACTTTGTTACATTTAATATTCACGGTTTATAAATGTAAAATAATCTAATTCAAAAAGGAGCGTATCAAAGCGACCGCGCTTTGATTTCTAGATGGGTCCGCGCTTTGAATTTATTTTTTTCGCTGGGTCACATCGCTATATGTGTAGATGAGTTTTAGATTAATCACACTATGCTTCTGTTGACATTCTGTTTTATTAATAGTTTTTATGTTATTAAATAAAAACCTATTAGCATTGGTTTAATGTATCGTATCAGGTTCCAATCCAAACACATAGACTAGACATTAACACAAACTTAATGCTTATAGTTAGAAATGAAGGTAATAGGTATCCTTTGACCGTTAGGTCCACCTGGCAGGAGAAAAATAATTTTAGCGAAATATCCTTCTCCAGTGTTCAGTTAGTTCCGGCCGATTATTTTCTTTTTATACAAGAAGCGGATTGCCTAATTTAATTGATGCCCATGGAAATCCGCAATACCAGAGAAATCGCAGATGCGTCGCCAACCTTTAAGTTGTACGTTCTTTCCTTGGAGGATCTTAAGTCGTAACTGGTTGGAAATACCGATTAGAAGAGGATATTAAACAACGCAATTGTATATTTTTTACTGTTTTAAAATTAAAATAAATAATATGAATGTGAAACAAGCTTTTTTTATATGGTAATAATGTGTTTATCCTCAAAAGATGTTTTATTCGTTTAAGCTTTTAAAAGTTTACGAGTCTTTTTTCAATTTGCGTAATCCAAATGAAGTAATCAAAATTTCGATGAAAAAGGAACGAAATAGAGGATTACTGATTATTCAAAGAGACAGCAAAATTCTATACCTTTCAGGCTTTCTTCAATTTTAGATGCTAAAGCGCCGCAAAAAAGATTTAATTTAATTACGCTATAATAAATTAATTCAGTTTTGTTCACAATATACTGATTATGGTTCTGACTTCCAATGACGAGGGTCGCCCAAGAGTATATGACTTACCCTACGTACACTTCTACATGTATCTCCGCATAAAATCTTACTGCTTTTATTAGTCACCAATTATATATTAAATTGAATAAATGGGCACAGGGAATTACGAAAATCACACACAACACTGACAAGTACAAGTACTAAATACGTAATACCACGCATTACGATTTGTTATAAATAAAGTTACTAACAGTCATGCGTTTGTTGTCATTATACCAGCAATACGACAAAACAAATAAATAAAAGATCACCGACATCCATCAATAGCAGCTCACCGACACATAAACACGTCGTAAAAGCAAGTTTTGTACAATGCCGACATAAAACCTTTTATCGTTCGCATCGATTGCTAAAAGAACACACGGTCTTTTGTACACCGTACAAGCACGGACGCACTATACTCTACCTTTGGTACTATCAACCTGAATAGTATAATAAATATCGGTACAAAATACCAAAACGTACAGCATTTCAAATACATTTCAATATCTTCAAAGTAATCCCCGCTTTGACACTTTACATCCCGAATGTACGTAATATCCAAAGAGGAAATATGTCACGTCTAGTGTATATAAGTACAGTCTTGCACGTAAGCGACGAGCCAATTCTTATCCGCGAATCAGGGTGCAAACTCACGTGGAATATCAAATAACTTTTGAGATCGGAAAATTCTGTCGAGTTGCTTGAAAACGTTACAAAATAGTGAAATCGGGAGTTCTGGACTTCATTCGAAGCGACAAAGAATGTTTTTTAAAATATTTTTATAAAAAGTAAGTTAGAATTACAAAGTACGTGTAACTCTTTAACAATTTATACTACACGCTAGATTTTTAAGTAGACGTAGGTCATAGTATTGAGCGACTCCTACATTAGGAGTACATACGTATTCGCCGACGCCTACGTAAGGGCTGTTCACACAAACTCTACTTACAAATAAGTAAGCAATGTTGTCCTTGGCTGTTTACCAAGTACAAAAAGAGTGGGTTGAGTTGGCGCCAACACTAATAGTATTATCAAGGTCCGCGAAGAAAACTTATTATGGTAACTATATATGAGACGTAACGCAATTTACTAAAGCATGTTTAGTCAAACAAATTGGGTTTTTCTTACAAAACAAATACTTTTTGAAATAAAAATGTACTAAGCACTTAATTTAAATTGATACTTGGTTTTAATAAAAAAAAATTGGTAATTTTCGTAGTTTACATTTGAAGATGCACCGACTTTTGGTATCTCCACTTATCAGTCGTAGTATCAGAATAATTTTTGTAAATTATTTTGAATCTTACACCATTTGTTTTGGTGACTGTACTTGAAACAATTGATCTATTCACAAGTCCTTTGCAAGGTATACGTGCAATGGTTCGTCTGAAACCTTTCCAACTTATCTTTAGGTCTAAGCTTAGATCGCGTTACAACCTTATAGGACTTCTCACAAAGTCTTGAATATCACGATCGTATACTTTGAAGAATACTAGTGTATCTTTACATTTTATTATTACTTAGTTTTACTTGATATTCAAGTTATTTTTTAAAATTTATTATAATAAATAGCAGCTCCGTTTCGCATTTTCATTTTGTTTTCCTTTGGCCCGACAAAGCGCTTTGATGCTCATAGAATTTTCTTAAAATCCAGAAAGGTTACATTTTTACAATTTTCAACTAAAATCAAGAATACAGAAAATACTGTAATTTTATATAAGAAAGGTTGAAGTGCAGTTTGTGAAGTCTCTAATGCGTAATGACCATGACTAGTCTGGAATGAATGCGGCAATGATTAATAAGAATGGAATACATATTTCATAACTTCATTCAACATCTCATTGCCACTGCTAATAAAATGTAAAACTGTAACGGATCATTTTATTGCAACAATACATGTAGATATAATTTCCTAAACTCATAATACAAATAACTTGCCGTGTCCACGGCTTATTACAATAAATCCTTGCGATGTTTTTATGCGTAACTCAATTACCTGTATAAAATTCTCGCACGATGAAACGGCGTCAACGAAATTGTGTCCATTATTTATGAGTATTATGTTTTTACAGAACATTGAGTTTTGCTTTTGTTTCTAGGAGATGACTTTCATTACTGTAATGTTTGTCATTTAGTTGGTACATGGAATATGACAGCATTTATGATGACTCTGGTGACTTTATTTTATAAAAGATTAAAAATTATATTATTTTTTTGGCCTGAAAAAGTAATTTAGTAGTATCGATTACTATATTCAAAAGACATGTGTGAAGTTAACCAACCCGCACTTGGCCAGCGTGGTGGACTATGACCTAGTCACAAATAATGTAGGGTAGGCTCCAAGCCCCTCAGTGTAGACGTATCGACTGCTGATGATGATGATGTTTACTTTAGAATGTTATAAATACTAAAAAGATAAGTGTTATTACTAATTTTACTTGAAAATAAATGACCTTAATTGTGAGCTTTCCTTAACAGGTTGAAATATTTTGTTGAATAGATTTACATGAACTTTAAGGCATAAAGCATACGCACGTTATACAGAACTCAGGCTTTTTTAATTATTTACAACGCTACTAACAGTTTAACGCAGTAAGGGTACTCGGCATTGAGCCTCAAGGTTAAAAGTTACAATTTTGCTGCATTCTCTACACTACAACCTTGACCAAGTATAAATGCTTTGGTAATTAGTTGAAAATACGACTTAATTGTTAAATATGTTAACATTGACAACAGTTTTAACAGTGGTAGAGCCCGCTTTAACATCTTCGCACGAATTAGCCCAGCTCGCCTGGTGAAATACCACGACCACACAGAAGACAGGCGTGAAGTGGAAGCAATTCCTAGTTTCGTCTGATGAGTGTGCGTCCCGAAGGCCTAATTTAGTCCTCTTTTTCTTCCCACCCTTTTTCTTATAAGAAAAGAATGGGAAGTGGAAGTGGACCTTCCGGATGAGACGATGCATGGCAAGGGAAAATATTTTTTCTTTCTGCGCATCTTCTCTTCCGTCGATTAAAGGTAAGCAATGCATATGCAATTACATATGTATGTCGTCGTAGTCGCTCGCTCCTTTACCACCTTATGATATAAAAAAAATATATTTTCAAAAGGAACTTCAAAACTACCACAAAATGCCTTTCACAGTCTTCGATTTAAAAGCCTTAATTGAAGAAAATTGTAAATTAAATCA